GCCACAAATGTGGCTTAATACTTTTTTACTTGGAATTTGATATTCTTCCGATTTATGATGAAGAAAATGTGAACAAATTTAGATCACCTTAAAACCACACAACTTTTGTATCAAACAATTTCTCATTACACGCATAATTCAATAGTTATTTCAGGTGTGCAAGCTACGTGAATCATCCTGTACAGTCTAAGCTCGAGTATTAGCGAATCAATATACGATACAGCGACAGTGAAATATTCCATTAAATGTGAGAAACACCAAAAATGTTAAATACCTGCGTCAAGCGTAAAATTACCATCGATTGCAACTGCAGTTGTATCCATCAAACAATTTGATATTTCCGTCGGTTTCGTCATCCCGATTTTATTATAGACAGCACGTTTCGTGAGATAATATTGCCGAGGACGTCGAGTCCCTTTCCACGTTAATTCATCGATTCGAACGCGAGTGCGCTGTTCAACCTCGCTGCTCGATCGCCGATCACCGATCACAGATTATCTCTATTCTATTATTCTCACAAAAAAAAAAAAAAAAAAAAAAAAAACATTTGCACGCTCCGTTTCTTCCGTTTCTTATTACCCTCGCTCTATCGTCGGTTACCTTTTTCACGCAGTCAACGAACTCGTCCTCCTTTTTCCATTGTCGTACTCCTAATTGTCGTCCTTCGTGCTTCGTTTTTTGCGCGGCTTAATTTTCCCCGGACTCGGAATCGACACGAGTTGAAATCTCTCTCTTGTCGGGTCGTTGTTCTCGCCGCTTGACGTTGATAGAAACGAGGAGACCAGAGCCCGGCTGTTTCACTCGAAAAAGCGAGGCTCCGCCGCTTTCACGATTTTTGTATCGTTGGGTTTCTAGTTTAAATGCTGGCAACGGATTTCGCCATTCGGAAGCACCTCGAAGAGAGGTTTCGTCTTCTTTCACTCGTACACAAAATGTTATCTTGGAAGCAAAAGAAACGACAGATACTGTCTACTCAATTCCAATGAAAATGTATATAATACTGAAGAAATTCAGTTTCCACTGATTATTCCAGTTATTATATACGTTCTCGTGGCTATGCAAGATAAGCACATTAAAGTCACTCTCGCGATGAAATTACGAAACGCGTCGATTAAAATTACGGAGGAAGGCTGCGTTTTAAGGTAATTCGTTTAAGGCAACGCCAGCGAGGATAATTCAGTTTAAGTTAATTTGTTTGCATTCAGCGTCTAATTTCGTCGACACCGTGTATAGATGCTTGAAGCGACCAAAGGAAACCAGGGCTCAATAATAGACGATGAAGTCAGGGTCGCGAATATGCGAATATCAACCGGCTCTGTGATTATTCGGCGTCAACCTGTATTTCCGGTTGTCTGGTCGCAACGTGAACCCGAGGAGCGGTCATTCGTACGCGCACGCTCTCTCCTCTCTCTCTCTCTCTCTCTCTCTCTCTCTCTCTCTGTCTATAGAAGTGCGTGTTTGGTGCATGGCTATAGCTATAGTTAGCTTGGTACACAGCCAGAAATTGCAGGAGGACGCATAGCTATTACACTTGCTCGCTATCGTTGTACACTTTGAAACGCGCGTCGTCGATGTCTCTGAGCAGAGCAGGAATCTCGAACGAAATGCGCACGAACAGATATTATTTATGCGTACATGTTGGCCTCGTTAGCTATACATTTTTCTATTGTTTGCACGCGAATTCGATATATCGCTTCCAGTTAAAAATAACTAACTTTTTCACTCGTGCGAGTACGTAGTCGAACATTGATATCTCCAGCGTTTTGTAATTTTGTTCGAAGCTGAAGTATTGATATTCTCGAAGTTCGTGGAAACTTACTCAATTGCGAGTTAGTTCCCGATCAGCGTAAATAACCACGGTGTATAAAAACGACACGCCGCATTCTATAAATCGATCCCGTTTACCGTCGATATTAAAATGCAAGAATAACATTTAACGCGGATCGCAGGCTGACTTAATAACGCAGCTTAAACGACGCTGTCGTTCTATGTTTAGTGCTCCTCTTTCATCTTCTCTCCGCAAGGGGATCGTAGAAACCCTTAAAGCGTCCCTAGCCAGACAGCGTCCCTAACCGAGGGTACTCACCTGGGCGTAAGTCATTAGTTACGATAGTTTTTCTTAGAACGAACCCGAGTACTCGAGCTGCGAGTCTTGGCTGGCAAGGATTAACAAACCTCGTTGCAATTTCTTCCGAACAAACGAGCTGTCTTCAAGCTTCGAATGTGAGGCTCGCTCGAGATCGACTGGACTCTCGAATGACGTGCCACGCATTTTGAGAATTTTTTTTCCAAAAATTGCAATATTTTTGAGTTATATTTAAGTATAACCCAGGCAAAATGAATAATAAATTTATTACTTCTCAAGAATTTCTATCCAGCGATGTCATACCGACGAGTTTAAAAAGAAAACGACGAATTATTGTATACGATTTATATACGGTCACTCGTTATGGTCCGCAATCAATTGTGGTTAACCTCTTGCGCTGGAATGACGTGTCACGCACGTCGAGAATTTTTTGTCCCAAAATTGTGATATTGTCCGCAGTTTTAAGCATATTTCAGTAAAGCAAAATAGGTAAAACAAATAATAAATTTATTACTTCTCAATAATTTCTATCCAGCGATGTCATACCGACGAGTTCAACAAGAAAGCGACGAATTGTTGTATACGGGTTCGGTCGCTCGTTATGGTCCGCAATCAACGCAAGTGATTAAATGTAATTTCTCTTTGCAATAATTTCTGTTTTGTTTCTTGTAGAAAGAGGTATACGCGAAATGATATTGTTGTAGTTGACATCTTCTTCTCGCTGTTATTTTCAAAGCAAGTTATGTGTACAATGCACTTGTTCTCGTGCAAACGAAGGTATCCACAAGCAACGTGAACCTTTTAAGGGAAACTATGTCGAGTCAGTTGCATGCACCTGTAAATAGAAACGAACTACTTGCAGTAGTTGTGACAGTTGATTTAGAAAAGGTAAGTAAACTTCCTTGCGACGATCCACGGTGTATTGTGTCTCTCAAGATTGAAAGAAAGTCTTTTTAATATTCATTGCATGTTGGAATCGCAATCATTCTTGATGTTTACACTCGAGTATTTTGTAATCAGCCGTGGCGAATTAAATTGTATTAACTTTCTGGAAAATACTGAAATATACAATTTAAAAAATACACGATACTTCTGAAAAATATTAGCGATTGCTAATTTCTGGCACAGACGATACTTTCAATTTAAAGTTTCGCGCAAAGTACAAACAGCGAGGACAATGTTTGAAAATTCTGATAAGGAATCGTGTTCATCTCGATTAATTTAAGAAGCGTTCATTTAAGAATCACGCGAGTCTACGACCAACGTCTTCACGTTTTCAAGGGAAAGAGTTCGTGATAAGTGCAGTGACCGGCGCTCGTCTCGGACCTTCGCCGTTGCACCACGGAAGATGCAGCGCACCTTGAAAAAGAAAAAAATGGGATGGGATGGGACGGGGCAGGTAGTTTAAGACAGTGAAAGAAGACGGGAGAGACAGACGCAGAAGGGGCACTATCCACGTGTCGGAATAACGGTTCGCTGAATTATTTAAAGCATGACGGAGGACTTTGCAAGCGCAGAAGGTTCTTTATGCCCGACTTGCATACAAGATACACACCGGGGCCGATTTAAATACACCGCAGATGCGTCACGAGACATATGCAAGTACATATGCGTATCGAAAAATTACACGAACAATTACAATAATCGGTTACAAGTATTCGTAACAAATTCCAAGATATTCTCCCTGTATATTTGAGTAAAATGTGTGTGTCACGCGCGTCGTGCTAACGCTGAAATTAATTTGTCGTTAAGTTTACGTTTAAGTATATTCAAAGTCGTCTGCAGATTTATTCTGTCACCTTCGTTCAATCGCGCCAGAGACAGAAAAAAAGAAAAGAGGAATCCTTGTTTCGCGTTCCCTTGAACTGCAACAATACAAACTCCAGACAGACGTATTTATCCCGTTGGTTCGTGCGTAGGACGAAGAAAAACGATGCGCACATATATCGCAATTTATGAAACCAGTTGCAAGCCGCGCTTGTCCTCAGCGAGGAATCAAATGGGCCAAGTATGACGATGACGATGAAGAGAGAGAGAGAGAGAGAGAGAGAGAGAGAGAGAGAGAGAGATCGAAAAATAGGGTGAAGGCAAACGTAGCAAGAAGAGGGAGAGTCGGACGATTGTCACCTCTCGTTCTCGCAGACGGCGCGACGCGACGTTGCGCCCCTCCCTCCTCCCCCATGCTCTATATTAATTACTTACCCGCGATATCATTCGGGATAAACAACGTAGCACGGCGCACCTAGCCTTTTAGCTTGACACCAATTGCGACAAGACGATGATGCGCGTGTATTTAACAGATTAGTAATCACTGTCCTCCGTCTGCTTTGTTTCTACGAATCAAGTAGCATTCTCATTTCAGAAATCACGTTTAATCGATCGTATCATATTTTTTAGAGTGACAAGCTACGAATGTTTATGCAAATTCTAACAATTAGTTTTCTGAATTCTTAATTCAGTGGGTCGCTGCTTTCAAAAGGGTTGTTGCGAAAGCGTGTGACTATTAAATTTTCCCTAAACGAGGAGCAGGGTTCGTAGATCCGTCGACTGATATAAAAACAAAATACCGCACATGTGCAAAAATTTGAGAAGACTTGCTCTAGGTATTTCGACTTCTCAGTCGTTGGATAATTATCTGTTCAACGGCACGTTAAACGACCTGCAACAAGTGTTCCTTTACATTCATATACCTTTTGCTCGGTTGAGCATATCTGATTGGTGTAGTACGGAGAGAACAACCGCAATGAAGAACGTGACGAATGATTAAACACGCGCGTAATGTATGCTTGACTGCGAAAGAAAGTATATTCGAACAGTGTTACGTTATTAATTATTCAGCGGTCGGCGTTCAGGGCGCGTAATTTCAACCTGTTCCTTCGCTGTTTTACAATATTCCCTCTTCTTGGTTTTCCAGAGCGATCCCAGCACGGCGTTCCTTCGTGCGGCTCGCGCAGGGCAGCTGGAAAAGGTTTTGGAATATCTGGAATCGGGAGTGGACATCAACGCTTCGAATGCTGTAAGCATTTATACAAGGGTGTATATAAGTAACTCGATGGGTTGAGAATTGAGAATAATGGGGGACGTATCAATTGCAGAACGGCTTGAACGCTTTACACCTGGCAGCTAAAGATGGACATTTGGAAATTGTCCGAGAACTTCTCAACCGTGGTGCGGTGGTCGATGCTGCTACCAAAAAAGGAAACACGGCATTACATATCGCTTCTCTTGGTGAGTAACATCACCATCTTTATCTTTGCATTTTTTTTAAGGACAGAGAATCTAAATACTGTTTAAATACTGGACTGTCACATTTTGAGGGTATTTTTTTTTTTTTTTTTTTTTTTTTTTTTAGTAATAAGACACTTGTTTAGCTTTTGATTTAGTTTTGAATCTGTGACAAAGCGTTTTAACCTTTCCCTGTTTCGGAGAAATACCTAATAGACGTGGGATGAGCATTCCGAGTTGAAATTAATATCTCGTTGCCACAGCTGGACAAGAGGAGGTGGTACAGTTGCTGATACAACGAGGTGCTTCTGTGAATGCACAATCACAAAATGGGTTTACACCGCTGTACATGGCTGCGCAGGAAAATCATGATTCTGTGGTCAAGTTCCTCCTGAGTAAAGGCGCCAACCAAACATTGGCTACTGAGGTTTGTAAATAAATTTCACCTGGTCAGTTAGTTTCATCATATTCAAAGAAAATTATTCGATTATTGTAATATTAACGAGATGAAATAGAATATGAAGTACATTTAATTTAAATTAATCAAGTTAAATGTTTAAATTTTATTAAAGAATGAATTATAATAGAAGTACTTGTTGTGTTCGTAGGATGGCTTCACCCCATTGGCAGTAGCGATGCAACAGGGTCATGACAAAGTAGTAGCAGTTCTATTGGAAAACGACACTCGTGGTAAAGTTCGATTGCCTGCCCTCCACATTGCTGCCAAGAAAGACGATTGCAAGGCAGCTGCCCTACTTTTACAAGTATGTCGCAATGTAATTTGCCTTCGAAGCCCTATGTTCAATCGGATTCGAACGAATTCGACGCCGATAAATTTATAATTCTTTCATTTTCGCTGCAGAACGATCACAATCCCGACGTAACATCGAAAAGCGGTTTTACACCGCTGCACATAGCTGCGCATTACGGTAACGATCGAATTGCTTCCTTGCTTTATGACAGAGGAGCGAACGTGAACTTCGCGGCAAAGGTGAGAAATTGTTATTTCAAAGGTTACTTTAAACATTGAAAAAAGATTAAAATAATCGTATGGGTGTGTGACGAATGCTGGTTTCGGATTGTTTACTTAGGATGAGCAATCCGAGTGAATGCGACCAAGTGATTGAGAACTGATTGTAATCACACTGAATATTTATGCCATTGTATCAATTTCAGAGATATCATTCTGAAAATTGAATGTAAAATTTACAATATCTGGGTCCACGTGTTTTCTTATTCTTCTTATCTCGCTGCACGTGGCAAAAATATGTGTCGTGTGTGTATGTGTGTGTGTGTGTGTGTGTGTGCGGAGTTTTCTTTAACAGCACAGTGTGACTGAAAAGATCAAGAGCCTAATATTTAGATCAATTCTAAATATTTTTCTATCTTGCAGCACAATATCACACCGATGCACGTCGCGGCAAAATGGGGAAAAATAAAAATGGTGAACCTTCTGATGAGCAAAGGAGCAAATATCGAAGCGAAAACGAGAGACGGTCTTACGCCTCTTCATTGCGCCGCACGATCTGGCCATCACGAAGTTGTTGACATTTTAATCGAGAAGGGTGCACCGATTGGCTCGAAAACGAAGGTAAGCGTTTTCTTCGAGTGTACTCTCATTCTTTTAAAGAAGAGTGAGAAGTCCTCCGGCGACTGAATTAGTTGTGGCTTGTTTTCTGTTGACACAGAATGGTCTTGCACCGTTACACATGGCTTCTCAAGGAGACCACGTTGACGCCGCGAGGATATTATTGTATCATCGAGCACCCGTGGATGAAGTGACGGTAGATTACTTGACGGCGCTACACGTGGCAGCTCATTGCGGACACGTACGAGTGGCTAAGCTTCTACTCGATAGAAATGCTGATCCAAATGCACGAGCTCTAAACGGCTTTACTCCACTTCACATTGCCTGCAAGAAGAACAGACTGAAGGTCGTTGAGCTCCTCTTAAAGCACAAAGCCAGCATCGAAGCCACTACAGAGGTATTATTTCCATTTTCACATACCATTCATTGTACCAACATATCGTATCACATCAGACATTTTCATTAGTTTAATACCTTATATCATAGGTATACGTCATAGTTATTATAGTATACCAATTATATTTGCCTCTAATTAGGAACAGAAATTATCAGAGACAATCGATACGTTATACCGATATAATAAGAAAAGAAGATTATTATTATAATTTTTTTTAGTAATAATAGATTCATTTTATTGCTTAGTCTGGATTGACGCCTCTACATGTAGCAAGCTTCATGGGGTGCATGAACATAGTGATTTATTTACTGCAACATGCAGCTAGTCCCGATATACCGACAGTAAGAGGCGAAACGCCTTTGCATTTAGCTGCCAGAGCGAATCAGACTGATATTATCAGGATACTTCTTAGAAATGGTGCCCAAGTTGATGCCAGAGCAAGGGTAAAGAAAAAGAATACAGTATTAGTAAACGTTTGATTTCAATATTCACATTCACAAAATTCTGCATCAATTTTCTTATTCCTTCTTACATTGTAATATCGTTCTCTTACTTAAATTTTTATTTCGATACTTAATTAGTAAATTTGCCTACGCCAAAATAGATTTGTAAAGTACAAATGTTGCAGGAGGAACAAACACCGCTTCACGTTGCTTCTCGATTGGGCAACGTTGATATCGTAATGTTGTTACTTCAACACGGTGCCGATGTAGATGCCACGACGAAAGATTTATATACACCGCTTCATATTGCTGCTAAAGAAGGTCAAGAAGAGGTAAACTTTTCAATATACTTATATCGTGTCATATTTAATTATTTATCAACGATTATATAATTAATCTCAACTTATGAACTTGAAACAGGTTGCATCCGTTTTGTTAGAAAACGGCGCATCGCTTACCGCAACGACCAAAAAGGGATTCACTCCTTTACACTTGGCAGCTAAGTATGGTAATATGAATGTAGCAAGATTACTATTACAGAAGAATGCACCAGTTGATGCCCAAGGAAAGGTTAGAAGTTGTTATTGCCTCTTGTTAATTTTTGTTAATTTTTTGTCAAATACACTCTTTATGTTAAATGTTAATTCTTTTGTTTAATCATAGAATGGAGTGACTCCGCTTCACGTGGCATCTCATTATGATCATCAAAATGTAGCATTGCTTCTACTTGACAAGGGTGCATCGCCTCACGCCATGGCTAAAAATGGTCATACACCGTTACACATTGCTGCACGTAAGAATCAGGTAAGGAGGTTTAAATATACGAACAAGCTAAATTATTAGGTATATCTTTAGTAATTCGAAAATAATTTTTGCTTTTGATGCAGATGGATATCGCGACTACTTTATTGGAGTACGGAGCAAAAGCAAATGCAGAATCAAAAGCAGGATTTACGCCGCTACATTTGAGTGCACAAGAAGGCCACACCGATATGTCAACGCTTCTCATTGAGCACAAAGCAGATACAAATCACAAAGCAAAAGTAACAAAAGATTTGATACTTTGTTATATTTATGGCCTCTTCTTTAATTACTTAATAATCACTTTTCTCTCTAGAATGGTCTCACACCGCTCCATTTGTGCGCACAAGAAGATAAAGTTAATGTTGCTTCTATTCTCGTTAAAAATGGTGCTCAGATTGATGCTAAAACAAAGGTATGATGAAGTAATTTGGAAAATTAATTCAACCTATAAAAATAAGAAGAGAAAATTAGAGAAAGTAAAAGAAAAGTCAATTACAATTCGTAAAATGTTTATATTGTTTTCTTGTGTTGTGCAGGCTGGTTATACTCCGCTACACGTGGCAGCTCACTTTGGTCAGGCAGCGATGGTACGATTCCTTTTACGATCTGGAGCAGTTGTTGACAGTAGTACGAATGCTGGATATACTCCGTTGCATCAAGCTGCTCAACAGGGTCATACATTAGTGATTAATTTATTGCTGGAGGGTAAAGCGAAACCGAATACTACTACTAATGTAAGTCAAGTTCATGAGAACTTGCTTTCGCAAGTTTTATTTAATTATTCTACTTATATCACGTTTCATTTTTCTTTCCTTTTTCTTTTTTTTTTTTTTTTTTAATAGAATGGACAAACGGCTTTAGATATTGCACAAAAACTTGGTTACATTAGTGTCATCGAGACGTTAAAGGTAGTTACGGAAACTGTCATTACAACGACTCATACTGTTACTATTGAAGAAAAATACAGAGTACAAGCTCCTGAATCAATGCAAGAGACGTTTATGAGCGATAGCGAAGACGAAGGAGGTAAGTGTTTGCTGTTTTCTATTGCAAAAGATTTCATATATTGCTTTAATAATAAATCTATCTTACGTAGTTTCGCAAAATTTGTTAAATATCAAAATATTAAGATGAAAGATATTACAGTAACATCAAATAACAAATTACATTTCTAAATTGACTAAATCAGTGTATTATATAACGATAAGATAAATCGTAATCTAGCATTCTAATTTGTTCGTTTTAATTCTATTTGCTTTCATTTTCTAGAATATTATTTTACTAGAATATCGAATAGAAATTGATAATACGAATAGTAGGTATCTGCCAATAATGTTTGTAATGTAGGTCTGCTTCTCTGTAATTTTGCTTCTTTATAGATTTGATAGCTTACATAATGCGTATAATAAACTACAACGTATTTTAATTTCGATAATTATTGCACAATATATGTGCAACGTTATTGCATGAAATTACGCTTTCAAGCATTAATTAACATTTCATCAACACAAGTGTCATACAAACTACTTAAAAATAAAAGAAATTATTACAATCTTAATTTGCAAAGATCAATTTAACGTAAAATGATTTATAACGATATATAACAATAAATGATTTTATTGTTATATTTCTTTTACACAGTTATATTTCTTTTACTATATAATAGTAACAACAAATTATATTTTGTGATATAGTTCTTTTGTAAAATTATATACATATTTCGATAGCATTTTTCATATATATATATCGTACTGCATAAAAGTTGCAGTTCACCATACATGTTAAAAATTTACTTGCATTAAGAAATATAAAATATATTAAAATTAATACACGCGCGCAGAGGATGTATTAAAGTAGCACTTTCCATTTTGGTACACTCTACCATCCATTAGTTTATTTTAAAAGTGCATGTATTCGCCGCATGAAAATATACGAAGATACGGATTGTAGCATGTACACTGTGAATCCTACAGTTCCTTAATACGAGTCAGCAAGATTTTATTCAAGGGGGAATCACAAAAACACAACCACTTTTATAATAGATTAGCAAAGGCATTAATATCCGTGTAATGCATATTGGATATTTATGAATTGGATCATAAATATTACTTACGATGCACTTTCTTTGATAGAAAAAAAAAAAAAAAAAAATGCTTAAGGAATTACAATTATTGACTTTGAACTTTCGAATTGAAGTTAGGGAGCTATATGATATAATATTTGCTTATTTTGTTGCGTTTATGTTTCATTCAGTTTCGCAAGAGCATGTACTTAGCATATCTTCACTGGGTTGTTGCTATCTATGAAGAAAATATTTAACTTCCTTCAAATAGACGCATAGTCTTTAGATGCATAAATAAAACTTAGCAAAAATAGTTAAAAATCTTTCGAATATCGTAATTTCGTAGATGGTAAATATTTTGAATTTTAGTAAAATCTTGTCGTATATTTCCCTTACACAGGTAATATTATTTTTATTAAAATTCGTGATAAAAAAAACTTATTGTTCCAAAGTAACATCAGACATGGTTTATTCTTAGCCGCATTAGATTCAACAAAGCAATGCTTATCTGTGTAAGATTTTTGCAATAAGTAGTTAACGACAACATACTTTAGACTAAATCTCTTCGTTTGTAATAACTTGCGTGGATAATAACAAACGTCACTGTAACGAATATGACAAATCTAACAAGGTTTGCTTGTTTGCTTAATTGTAATATTAAAAAAACACATTGGTCCCGGTAGACACGAGAATACAGTACAAAAATCTGTCTCAAAATTCCATCAAATTCAACTGAAAATCGAGCCAATTTCAATCGGATTGTCCGTCATTAGACGTTCCATCGTGTCGTAAATGGCAATGGAGTATGTACGTTTAAAACGACTGAAGAACTCTTGCATATTTTATCACACGCGTGAGTTAATAATAAATTTTTAAGTCGAAGCAAACGAACAAACTGCGCTCGCGGTAGGTCTATCTCCTGCTGTATACGTAAAGTCGGCTATTTAACAACCCAGTGATAGCGAAATTTAGAAACAGTGTTTATGGTGCGAAATTAGCATTTTGATAAAAAAAAAAATGACCTTACTCGACGGCGTACGATGTAGGTGGTGATGAAATCGGCATGGCAGCCATGAATGTGTACGGGCAGCCTCCACACGCGCAACACGTGTACCTTCCTTCTTACTACCAGGGCCAAATGACCTATACCCGTAAGTTGTCTGTACTCTGTTTCTGGTCACTCTTTCACATATCACACGTGCGCGCAACATTCTATATTTATATATACATATATACATACATATATATATATATATATATATCAGCACATGGGTACGTAACTAATCTTCCTCGCTCGTAGTACGCGCGCATTCGATCATTCATACTTTGTCGATTTCATTTACCTAATCACGGCTTGTCGTTTAAATTCTCATGCCAATTGTCGAACCGGAGTGTATTCATTAGTATCTCGACATATCTGCATTCGATGCCAAAGTCTTTCGATTGTTCCGTGGTTTTCTTACATGCACGTACACTCCGGTGGTTCTCTTTCTCTAATTTTTCGCATTGTCCACGGAGAAACACGAACGAAGCTCTAGGCGACTTGTTGCCGCGCGACACCGTGTTATTTTAAAAGAGTTGAACCGAGAGATATCGAGTATATTTTCTAGTTTTCATTCATTTCTGTTTTCTATCCGTGGAAACATAAATACAGAGACATGCACAGACATATACCTCTCCTTAAACCGCTATTTGTTCACACTCTGTTTCGTTTACCTTCCTTGTCGCTCCATTTCTCCTGTATAAAGTTGCGATCCCTTTCCCCCAGCATCTACACTTGCAGTAGCCGTAACAACCTTGTTAAACGAGATTCACGTTTTTTGAGTTTCAAGTATTACGGATCGATTTTTTTTTTTTTTTTTGTTATATTACAATGATTTCAAATGCTATCGAAATTCAATGGTAACGTCACGTACACGTGACGGGGATCTCGATCGCGCCAATTACATAAGAACTCGATACAGCGTACAAAATGTACGAGTGTATTTTCTTTCATTTTGCTGTTTGATCTGTCGAGTTAATACGAGCGTAGCGAGAGTAGAGAAGGAAGTTTCGAAGCGGACGCACATTTTTCGAGTGAAAAATGTTTTTATTTCCTTGAAACGTGCTCATCGTCCGCGAGTTGGTATTACGCACCCGTCGCACGGAATTCTCGGTAGGTGCGTAGGAACTGTTCTTGCTACTTGCAATTCAGCAAGATCATTATCATCTATTCATTACTCGCCGCATTCGAACGTCTCACAGTATACGCATACGAGAACGCGTAGTTTAATTCTGCCATCGCGACGCACACGTGCATATATAATGCCATTGAAAGCGACACTCAAGGATTAATACAATCAGCTGAGGATATAACGAATTTATTCATATATAATATTTATAGAGGCTTCGTCGTGGAAGAAATTTATCTACGCGATACGTTTGAATCTGAAAATGGGAGGGAGGAAGGAAATCACTGCCCCTCCAAATCGCGTTTCTAGCCGAGCAAAGCGTTCAATTTTACTCGATTACGTTATCGCAATTAAATTAATCGATGCGAAGCGAAATTGAATTTCAACGACGCGACATTGCGTCAAAGTCGGTCACGCGTTGGCATTTCTCGAATCTAAAATTCAGAAAACGGCGAACGTTAACGAAGTAGGGCGCGTTGCTGCCGCTGTTAATGTAATTTGCATAATAACGAGTTGTGCGATCATTATGCCAGTCGGCGGGAGGAACAGAGGTAGGCTTGTGCAGTCTGTTTTCACGTATCATCCACGTACCTATACGCATTCTGCTTCGGCTGTTATGCAACAGCCGGTATGCATCTTGTACCATATTATTCATGCAGTTGGTCGAACCCCTGCTGGCTGGCAAGTCGCCAAATACGATTCACGACCAAAATATCGAAATTTATATAACGAATTTGCTTTCTTTTCTTTTCTTCACTTTTCTTTTTCTTTTTTTTTTTTTTCCGCCTAAAATCGGTGCGCGATTTGCTTTCGCGAAGTCAACGTTACGCCTCGTTTCGTGAACTGACAATTTCACGTCCAAAGTCAATTAAGCCTGGAATGTAACGTGCCTAATTTAAAAAGAAAAAAAAAAAAAAAAAAAAAAAAAAAAAAGGAAAAAGAAATACGGGGATCTAAGAAAAAAAAA